CACGTTCTGTAGATGCCACTGGTTCTTCACGTTCTGTAGATGCCACTGGTTCTGTAGATGTAGATGCCACTGGTTCTTCACGTTCTGTAGATGCCACTGGTTCTGTAGATGTAGATGCCACTGGTTCTTCACGTTCTGTAGATGCCACTGGTTTTTCACGTTCTGTAGATGCCACTGGTTCTTCACGTTCTGTGGATGCCACTGGTTCTTCACGTTCTGTAGATGCCACTGGTTCTGTAGATGTAGATGTCACTGGTTCTTCACGTTCTGTAGATGCCACTGGTTCTGTAGATGCCACTGGTTCTGTAGATGTAGATGCCACTGGTTCTTCACGTTCTGCAGATGCCACTGGTTCTGTAGATGTAGATGCCACTGGTTCTTCACGTTCTGTAGATGTAGATGCCACTGGTTCTGTAGATGTAGATGTCACTGGTTCTTCACGTTCTGCAGATGCCACTGGTTCTGTAGATGTAGATGCCACTGGTTCTTCTCGTTCTGTAGATGTAGATGCCACTGGTTCTTCACGTTATGTAGATGTAGATGCCACTGGTTCTGTAGATGTAGAAGCCACTGGTTCTTCACGTTCTGTAGATGTAGATGCCACTGGTTCTGTAGATGTAGATGCCACTGGTTCTTCACGATATGTAGATGTAGATGCCACTGGTTCTGTAGATGTAGATGCCACTGGTTCTTCACGTTCTGCAGATGCCACTGGTTCTGTAGATGTAGATGTCACTGGTTCTTCACGTTCTGCAGATATAGATGTCACTGGTTTTTCATGTCATGTAGATGCCACTGGTTCTTCACGTTCTGTAGATGTAGATGCCACTGGTTCTTCACGTTCTGTAGATGTAGATGCCACTGGTTATTCACGTTCTGTAGGTGTAGATGCCACTGGTTCTTCACGTTCTGTAGATGCCACTGGTTCTGTAGATGTAGATGTCACTGGTTCTTCACGTTATGTAGATGCCACTGGTTCTGTAGATGTAGATGCCACTGGTTCTTCACGTTTTGTAGATGTAGATGCCACTGGTTCTGTAGATGTAGATGCCACTGGTTCTTCACGTTATGCAGATGTAGATGCCACTGGTTCTGTAGATGTAGATGCCACTGGTTCTTCACGTTTTGTAGATGTAGATGCCACTGGTTCTGTAGATGTAGATGCCACTGGTTCTGTAGATGTAGATGCCACTGGTTCTTCACGTTTTGTAGATGTAGATGCCACTGGTTCTGTAGATGTAGATGCCACTGGTTCTTCACGTTCTGCAGATGTAGATGCCACTGGTTCTTCACGTTCTGTAGATGTAAATGCCACTAGTTATTCACGTTCTGTAGAAGCCACTGGTTCTTCACGTTCTGTAGATGCCACTGGTTCTGTAGATGTCACTGGTTCTCCAGATGTAGAAGCCACTGGTTCTTTCACGTTCTGTAGATGCCACTGTTCTTCACGTTCTTAGATGCCCCTGGTTCGTCACGTGTCTGTAGATGCCACTGGTTCTGTAGATGTCACTGGTTCTCCAGATGTAGAAGCCACTACTCTTCACGTTCTGTAGAAGCCACTGGCTCTTCACTGTCTGTAGATGCCATGGTTCTTCACGTTCTGTAGATGCCACTGGTTCTTCACGTTCTGTAGATGCCACTGGTGCTGTAGATGTAGATGCCACTGGTTCTTCACGTTCTGTAGATGCCACTGGTTCTGTAGATGTAGATGCCACTGGTTTCTTCACGTTCTGTAGATGCCACTGGTTTTTCACGTTCTGTAGATGCCACTGGTTCTTCACGTTCTGTAGATGCCACTGGGTTCTTCACGTTCTGTAGATGCCACTGGTTCTGTAGATGTAGATGCCACTGGTTCTTCACGTTCTTGTAGATGCCACTGGTTCTGTAGATGTAGATGCCAACTGGTTCTCACGTTATGCAGATGTAGATGCCACTGGTTCGGTAGATGTAGATGCCACTGGTTCTCACGTTCTGTAGATGTCACTGGTTCTGTAGATGTAGATGCCACTGGTTTTTCACGTTCTGTAGATGTAACTGGTTCTCCAGATGTAGATGCCACTGGTTCTCCAGACGTAGATGACACTGGTTCTTCACGTTTTGTAGATGTTAGATGCCACTGGTTCTGTAGATGTAGATGCCACTGGTTCTTCACGTTCTGTAGATGCCACTGGTTTCTGTAGATGTCAATGCCACTGGTTCTTCACGTCTGTAGATGTCACTGGTTCTCCAGATGTAGATGCCACTGGTTCTCCAGATGTAGATGCCACCACCGCCATCTGCTGAACGGGACGGCTGATCTTGGGACTCTGGGACCGTCCAGGCAACGGGACCGATACGGGGGGGGACCAGCTTTGTGGAAAGTTCGCCAGTCGGAGTGGCCCCGGGTACAGCCCGTGGCTTTGCCTGGGCGCTCTAAACACCCTCTTCAATTACATGTGAAGCTGCTTGTGGTTCTAGCCGGTTCGTAGTTCTAACCACTGCGCGCACACACATACATACACCACACACACACGCAACACACACACGCAACACACACACGCAACACACACACGCAAACACACACACGCAACACACACGCAACACACCAACACACAAACACAACACACCCACACACAACACACGCAAACACGCACACGCCACACACACACCAACACACACAACACCACACACACACAACCCACACACACACATTTCGATTTCGATTTTGAAATCGATCAATCGTTCAGCCCTGCCGCAAACCTGGCCGCCCAAGTTCGATTCCCGCTCGCGGTGTGTGTGTGAGGAGCATACCTGCTAGAGGCTACCTGGGGGAGCTTTGTCTGTGTGTGGTGTGTGTAGTACATAGACACTGCTGCTGCTACTAACAGCACTTGCCCCTACAGCCCTGCTAGAGGCTACCTGGGGGAGCTTTGTCTGTGTGTGGTGTGTGTAGTACATAGACACTGCTGCTACTAACAGCACTTGCCCCTACAGCCCTGCTAGAGGCTACCTGGGGTAGCTGTGTCTGTGTGTGGTGTGTGTAGTACATAGACACTGCTGCTACTAACAGCACTTGCCCCTACAGCCCTGCTAGAGGCTACCTGGGGGAGCTTTGCCTGTGTGTGGTGTGTGTAGTACATAGACACTGCTGCTACTCGCTACTAGCAGCACTTGCCCCTACAGCCCTGCTAGAGGCTACCTGGGGGAGCTTTGTCTGTGTGTGGTGTGTGTAGTACATAGACACTGCTGCTGCTACTAACAGCACTTGCCCCTACAGCCCTGCTAGAGGCTACCTGGGGGGTCTTTGTCTCTGTTGTGTGCATAAATCATTTACGCTCTTATCTGTGGCCAGGAGATGAGCCGCCCAGCCCCCTGTTGTGTGCATAACCGCGTGCTATAGGCTTGCTGCTGTGAGGGGGCAGGGTGAGCTGCGTGGTACAGTACGGTACTGTACCTCTATGCTCCCACGTGTTGCCTCCTCCCCCCAAGACAAAGCTCCACCGTGTAGCCTCCAGCAGGCCGGGGTGGGGGTGGGGAGGGGAGATGGTGGTGGTGTGGGAGGTGGTGGTGAGGGGAGATGGTGTGTGGAGGGTGGTGGTGGGTGGGTGGAGGGTGGGTGGGTGGAGGGTGGTGGGTGGTTGAAGGAGGGTGGTGGTGGAGGTGTGGGTGGTGGTGGAGGTGTGGGAGGTGGTGGTGGTGTGGGAGGTGGTGGTGGGTGGGTGGGTGGTGGAGGGTGGTGGTGGTGGGTGAAGGGTGGTGGGTGGTTGAAGGAGGGTGGTGGTGGTGGTGGTGGAGGTGTGGGTGGTGGTGGTGGGTGGTGGTGGAGGTGTGGTGGGTGGAGGAGGGTGGTGGGTGGGTGGAGGAGGGTGGTGGGTGGTGGGTGAAGGGTGGTGGTGGGTGGAGATGGTGTGTGGAGGTAGGTGGAGGTGGTGGGTGGGTGGGTGGGTGAAGGGTGGTGGTGGGTGGAGATGGAGGGTGGTGGTGGGTGGAGATGGAGGGTGGTGGTGGGTGGAGATTGTGTGTGGTGATGGGTGGAGGAGGTTGGTGGTGGTGGTGGGTGAAGGGTGGTGGGTGTTTGAAGGTGGGTGGTGGTGGAGGTGTGGGTGGTGGTGGAGGTGTGGGTGGTGGTGGTGGTGTGGGAGGTGGTGGTGGTGTGGGAGGTGGTGGTGGTGTGGGAGGTGGTGGTGGTGTGGGGAGGTGGTGGTGGGTGAAGGGTGGTGGGTGTTTGAAGGTGGGTGTGGTGGAGGTGTGGGTGGTGGTGGTGGTGTGGGAGGTGGTGGTGGTGTGGGAGGTGGTGGTGGTGTGGGAGGTGGTGGTGGGTGAAGGGTGGTGGGTGTTTGAAGGTGGGTGGTGGTGGAGGTGTGGGTGGTGGTGGTGGTGTGGGAGGTGGTGGTGGTGTGGGAGGTGGTGGTGGTGTGGGAGGTGGTGGGTGGGTGGGTGGAGATGGTGTGTGGAGGTGGTGAGTGGGTGGTGGAGGGTGGTGGTGGGTGAAGGGTGGTGGATGGGTAAAGGAGGGTGGTGGTGGGTGGTTGGGTGGAGGGTGGTGGTGGAGGGTGGTGGTGGTGGATGAAGGAGGGTGGTGGGTGGAGGGTGGAGGGTGATGGTGAGTGGGGGAGGAGGAGAGTGATGTGGGAGGTGGTGGTAGAGGTTGTGGTGGTGGTGGGTGGAGTGGCGTTGGAAATGATGGTGGGTGGTGATAGGGGAGGTGGTGTGGCATTGTGGTGGTGGTCGTGGTGTGTCATGGTGGAGGTGGTGGTGTGTCATGGTGGTGGTGGTGGTGGTGGTGTGGGGAGGTGGTGGTGGTGTGGCATTGTGGTGGTGGTGTGACATTGTGGTGGTGGTGTGGCATTGTGGTGGTGGTGTGGCATTGTGGTGTGGCATTGTGGTGGTGGTGTGGCATTGTGGTGGTGGTGTGGCATTGTGGTGGTGGCGTGGCATTGTGGTGGTGGTGTGGCATGGTGGAGGTTGAACGCGACACGTGTGTGTGTGTGTACGTGCAGAGTGTCCGTGTGGTGATGAAGAAGAAAGGGCTTGGCGAGGCAGACTCGTCTCCCGGCTACGCGCCACTGCGTTACACGGGGTGATGGGGGTGGTGGTGGTGGTGATGGGGGTGATGGGGGTGGTGGGGGTAATGGTGATGATGGGGGGTAATGGTGATGATGGGGGTAATGGTGATGATGGGGGTGATGGGGGTGGTGATGGGGGTGATGGTGGTGATGGGGGTGATGGGGGTGGTGGTGGTGATGGGGGTGATGGGGGTGGTGGTGGTGATGGGGGTGATGGGGGTGGTGGTGGTGATGGGGTGATGGGGGTGATGGGGGTGGTGGTGGTGATGGGGGTGATGGGGGTGGTGGGGGTGATGGGGGTGGTGGTGGTGATGGGGGTGATGGGGGTGATGGGGGTGGTGGTGGTGATGGGGGTGATGGGGGTAATGGTGATGATGGTGGTGATGGGGGTGGTGGTGATGATGGTGGTGATGGGGGTAATGGTGATGATGGGGGTGATGGGGGTGATGGTGGTGATGGGGGTAATGGTGATGATGGGGGTGATGGGGTTGGTGGGGGTGATGGTGATGGGGGTGGGGGTGGGGATGGGGATGGGGGTGGTGGTGGTGATGGGGGTGATGGTGATGATGGGGGTGATGGTGATGATGGGGTTGGTGGTGGTGATGGGGGTGGTGGTGGTGATGGGGGTGGGGATGGTGGTGGTGATGGGGGGTAATGGGGGTGGGGGTGATGGGGGTGATGGTGATGGGGTTGGTGGTGGTAATGGGGTTGGGGGTAATGGGGGTGGTGATGGTGATGGTGATGGGGGTGGTGATGGTAATGGGGGATGGGGTGATTGTGGTAGCTGCACCATTTTGAATTTGTACTCCACGCGTAAACAGCGTGGGGGAGGGGGAGGAGGAGGTGGTGGTGGTGGTGGCAGAGGAGGTGGTGGTGGTGGTGGCACAGGAGGTGGTGGTGGTGGTGGCAGAGGAGGTGGTGGTGGTGGTGGCAGAGGAGGTGGTGGTGGTGGTGGCAGAGGAGGTGGTGGTGGTGGTGGCAGAGGAGGTGGTGGTGGTGGTGGCAGAGGAGGTGGTGGTGGTGGTGGCAGAGGAGGTGGTGGTGGTGGTGGCAGAGGAGGTGGTGGTGGTGGTGGCAGAGGAGGTGGTGGTGGTGGTGGCAGAGGAGGTGGTGGTGGTGGTGGCAGAGGAGGTGGTGGTGGTGGTGGCAGAGGAGGTGGTGGTGGTGGTGGCAGAGGAGGTGGTGGTGGTGGTGGCAGAGGAGGTGGTGGTGGTGGTGGCAGAGGTGGTGGTGGTGGTGGTGGCAGAGGTGGTGGTGGTGGTGGTGGCAGAGGTGGTGGTGGTGGTGGTGGCAGAGGTGGTGGTGGTGGTGGTGGCAGAGGTGGTGGTGGTGGTGGTGGCAGAGGTGGTGGTGGTGGTGGTGGCAGAGGTGGTGGTGGTGGGGTGGCAGAGGTGGTGGTGGTGGTGGTGGTGGCAGAGGTGGTGGTGGTGGCAGAGGTGGTGGTGTGTGCAGAGGTGGTGGTGTTGGCAGAGGTGGGGTGGTGGCAGAGGTGGTGGTGGTGGCAGAGGTGGTGGTGGTGGTGGTGGTGGTGGCAGAGGTGGTGGTGGTGGCAGAGGAGGTGGTGGCAGAGGAGGTGGTGGCAGAGGAGGTGGTGGCAGAGGAGGTGGTGGCAGTGGTGGTGGTGGCAGAGGTGGTGGTGGTGGCGGTGGCAGAGGTGGTGGCGGTGGCAGAGGTGGTGGCATAGGTGGTGGTGGTGGTGGCGGAGGTGGTGGTGGAGGTGGTGGAGGTGGTGGAGTGGTGTGATTGTGGTGATTGTGGGTGGAGATAGAGATGGTGGTGGTGGTGGTAGAGGAGGAGGTGGAGGAGATGGTTGGTGGTGGTGGTGTGGTAGAGGAGGAGGTGGAGATGGTGGTGGTGGTGGAGATGGTGGTGGTGGTGGAGATGGTGGTGGTGGTGGAGATGGTGGGGTGTGGAGATGGTGGTGTGGAGATGGTGGTGGTGGTGGAGATGGGTGGTGGTGGAGGAGGGTGACGATGGTGGAGATGGTGGTGGTGGTGGAGGAGGTGACGATGGTGGAGATGGTGGTGGTGGAGATGGTGGAGGAGTGACGACGATGAGGGTGATCCCGGCCCAGTTCCGGCCCAGCCTCTGGCTCGAGTCACCCATGCCTCTGTGACCCCCCACCCCCCACCACCCCCCACCCCTCGTGTTGCTGGGTTGGTGGGACTCTGATTGATGGCAGGAATGCGGCATGCGGGTCGGGAGGGAGGTGGGGAGGGGGGTGATGGTGGTGGATTTTTTAATTTGCATTTCCCCAGCAATTAGCGAGCAACACAGACGCGCATATGCGCATACACACAACACGCACACACAGACAAGATCCCCCGTGTAGCCTTAACAGACTGTAGGGGCAAGTGCTGTTATGTAGCAGCAGCAGTGTCTATGTACTACACACACACGCACACACAGACAAAGATCCCCCGTGTAGCCTTAACAGACTGTAGGGGCAAGTGCTGTTAGTAGCAGCAGCAGTGTCTATGTACTACACACACACGCACACACAGACAAAGATCCCCCGTGTAGCCTTAACAGACTGTAGGGGCAAGTGCTGTTAGTAGCAGCAGCAGTGTCTATGTACTACACACACACGCACACACAGACAAAGATCCCCCGTGTAGCCTTAACAGACTGTAGGGGCAAGTGCTGTTAGTAGCAGCAGCAGTGTCTATGTACTACACACACACGCACACACAGACAAAGATCCCCCGTGTAGCCTTAACAGACTGTAGGGGCAAGTGCTGTTAGCGAGTAGCACCTATGAAGGCCGGCACGGCACACGAGGGGATGGGTGGGTGGCCAGCACCACGCCCGGCCGCCTTTGTCTCCCCAGTGGCGATGTTTTACACACCGCACCAGGTACTCATTTGAGGCTGAGTCGACCTCGGGGAGGCCCAGGACCGGTTCAGATAATCGTCACTGGTGGTGTTGGCCGTGAGCGGGAATCGAACCCGTGTTGCCGGGTTCATAGCGCAGTGCGCTAACCACTACACTGCCTGTGTACGCGTGTGTGGTGTGTGGGGAGCGGTGGCGCAGCGGTTAGCGCTACGCCGCGCTACGAACCCGTCAACCCCGAGGTTCGATTCTCACTCACGGCCAACATCGGTGACGATATCACTGGTCAACACACTTTTTCTGGCACGAGGTATTCCAACGGGTTATAAGGTAATTTTTGAGGTGCCGATTCCAAATCTTGGCATCAGTTTTTGTCCGTCACATCAGGTTTTTGAGATATCAAATTGCAT